TCAACAAAACCAAACCAAACCAGACCACCATAAAGTAGAGCTCTGCGTGTCTAGCTCCTATCCTAGGATTTTTATTGCGGTATCCTTATTATTAAATAAAATCTCCAATATCCTGGCTAAAAATCATAAGAAAGACACAATTTCCTCAGCCAGACAAACAATCTGGATTGGTAATCTCAGAATTCTAAGAAATCATGTAGAAGTGAAAAAGGAGAACAAACATTAGGGAGCAAAAAAGGAAATAAAAAACGAGCCTGCAAATGAATAGAAAAATACTCGTTCTGTAAAATAAGTTTGTGGAAGTAAGCAAACACAGGAAAGGTGTTTTGCTTAATGAGAGTTGTACGTTGTGGCTTAGTCCTCTGAGGTCTGAAACAAGTAAACACTTCCAGAATTGTCGGTGCATACATCCCCCTCTCCAAGGAGAGCTCTGTTTGTGAAGAGCTCTGTTTTGCTCTTTGGAATAATTGCACATATATTCCTGACAACTAAATGAACTCAACAGGAGGTGGGTTTTGAGTCCTTTGAAAATTCCTGCAGTTAGTGCCAATCGGAGGCAGGAAATAAGTTTTGCCTAATGCTATTTGCATAAGAAGGGAAAAAGAACACGTCATTTATTCTCATCAACAAAGTGTGCGAACAAGATTTGGACAGATGAGCACAACCGTTCTATCACTCCTGCCCAAATATTCTATCCAAGAGATATATATTATATCTCTTCCCAGATAACAGGTTTGTTCACCCAAGAACACATTAGCTCAGTCAGATCTGGGTTCTCACAGAGCTCTGTGCTCTGATGCTCTGCTTACTGGTAAACAAGTGGTGTGATTTTGCTTAGCAACCCCTCCATGGAGAGACAACGCACTTCTGTAAGTGGCAGGGCGGTGGGGAGGTGGGGGAGGGGGTAAGGAAAGCAAGGTATGTGCCTCTTTGCAGCTGGTTCCTGACATCGCAAACATTATCTGCAATTCTTGACAGCCTTGGAAGGATGACGAAGAACATTGATGAGGAAATTGAGAGGCAAATAAAAAAGTTTTCGAGACTGTGGGCTAAGACTGTCCAACAGCTCAACCCAGAGCCAACACAGAAGAACCAAGAGAGAATGAGGACATTTTTCTCATTAAAAAAAATGAGGTGATTATATGAGATAACGTATCCAGGAAGGGACAACCAACAGTGACTTCCTGAAGCTAAATGAAGCTTATCTTAAGCCAGACAAGGAGGGAACATTCTTCAATAGCTCAGGGCAGCATTAAATCCACGATTGTTCACATCTAAGATTTGAACTTTTTTTTTTTAAGATTTTATTTATTCATGAGAGAGAGAGAGAGAGGCAGAGGGAGAAGCAGGCCCTATGCAGGAGCCCGATGCGGGACTTGATCCCGGGACTCCAGGATCATGCCCTGGGCTGAAGGCAGGGGCCAAACTGCTGAGCCACCCAGGGATCCCCCTAAGATTTGAACTTTTACATCAAAGATAGTCATTAACAAACCCTGAGCCCTTAGCAGGCAGTGTGTGAAGCTTTTACATGCTTATTTAATCTTCCCAACAATCCTGGGAGGTGGATTCCTGATGTCTGTTTTATAAAGGAAGAAACTGATGCCCAGAGAGGTTGAGAAACTTGCTTGAGGTCAGCCAGCCATGTAGCAGTGGGGATGCGATGTGCCTCAGGCAGTCTGTCCTTAGACTCCGAGTTCCTAAACACCATTTTACAAGTGGTAGTTTGTGCAGTTGCTGGGCTAATGGGGATGAGAATCCCGAAGATCACTGGATGGCATGTAACCTAGGTTGTGGTTCCATCTTGAAAAATTGTTCAGTGAAGGTAACCGTTTTTTGGTTTGGTTTTGTTTCTTAATATCTAGAGGGCATCAAAAACATGGGCATCCTTAAACCTTACATCCACACCTCTTCCTTTTATAGCGAAGTACGGGTATACATATTTTCATGCACACACACACACACACACACACACACACTCACGAAAGACACTTGACCTCTTAGATCTCTAAAATACCCCCAAAGATTGAATTCTCCAAGCATTCACTGAGCATCACCCTAGCATGCCTGGAAGGAGCAGCCCAGGAACACATGGGTTGGCTTGGACAGTGAGTGGTGATGAAATGTTTACCTTGCTGATAAACTCTCCAACAGATAATGCTTTTAAGACACCATTATTTCACCTTTGTTACATAGGTCTCTGCCCCCCAAACCAAATCCTGTCCTGCCATTGTCCCTTCTACCCACCTGGGGGAGCCTGGGAATGTCTCCAGCTTCCTACATGTTTACAGCCCTCCTTTGCCAACCTCAGCCTCATTTGGATTGCACTTGTGTTCGCATCCTAATTTATGACTTAACAAGTGTCTCACAAACATTTAATTTCATTATGCATTTGAGGAGGACAGTTTATGGAGGGGGGAAGAATGATGTGCCCCTTGCTGGCAATTAGATTAATTTAATGAGCTTCAGTTGAAATCTCCTTTTGGGCTTTGGATTTTTATACATGCCTATGAACAAAACGAGGCTAGTCAAAAATAAGTTGCTGGATTCTCAGAGGGGCTCAACTGTCCTGACCAAGTCCTGGTAGGAAATTCAGGCAGGCTGGAAATTCGTGGAATGGGTAAGACATCCCTGCGGTTCTCAGGTGATTTGCCTCGTCATGATACTTCTCACGAAAAAAATAATTGGAATTCTCATTGGCAGTCTCAGCAATATCAGCACATTATCACTTTTTTTTTCCAGATGGCTTTTCTGAGGAGATGAGGAGGGGAGTGTATGAAAGCATGGATCACATAATTTTCCCCATTCTCACTTTATATACTTGAGTGCCCTTTTGGGAGTTAGAGCACATGACTGCTTTTCAGAAAGGAGGATTGTATTTCCTTAGGTTTTCCTGTGTATTTTTAGGGAATGTGTGTTGACCTCAGAATGGGAGTGTATATATATAGTGCTGAATTAGGTTCATGCAAATAAATGTTCTCCACTATTACTGTCTTTATTCGTTGCACTGAGCCCTCCATTTTGCTGTGTTGACTGTACGTGGGACCGAGACCCTTGTCAGGTGGGGCTGAATGCTTCCAAGGCATGAATAGAGCAGCTGCCCGCCTTTCCCCCTTCTTCAGCTCCCTCATTCCTGGAAATTTCCAGTGAACAAGCAGCGTTGATATTTGTCTTACAGTTGAGGAGGAGAGGATGGACAGGAGGGAACCTTAGTTACCTTTTTGGCTGGCATTTCCGTGGTTGATCCAAGTAGTTTACCTTAGAAAACTCTCTCGGGACACCTGGGTGGCTCAGTGGTTGAGCATCTGCCTTTGGCTCAGGGCGTGATCCCAGAGTCCTGGGATCAAGTTCCACATCGGGCTTCCCGCAGGGAGCCTGCTTCTCCCTCTGCCTATGTCTCTGCCTCTCTCTCTCTCTCTCTCATGAATAAATACATAAAATCTTTAAAAAAAAAACACCTCTCTCTTGATCATCTCTGTCCTGGGGAGACGTGGCAGGGATGTCACTGCTTATGTCCAAAGCTCAGGAATTCCTGGACAGATTGCACAGTAACAATTTTCTTTATTCTCACTCTTCCATTCTAGAAGGGAAGCAGGACAGCCTGTCCTTCATGGGGGTTAGTCTGATTGATTTTGTTATGGGGGAGGTAGGTGAGGGTGAGGACTCTGGTGACTTTGTGTGAGCTGGAAAATTGTTGAGTAACTTGAAGCTTGGTTCCATCAGTAAGCACTGGACTGGGAGTTAATCACATCAGAGTTTTAATCTTGGCTTTGCTTCTAATTAGCAAAATCATTTTATGCTGGTCCCTCAACCCCTCTTGGCTTCTGTTGGAGTGTATGAATGCTAAGGTCTCTTGCGCTCTGAGGTTCTCTGCCTTCTAATTCACCAGGAGGCAATGAAGAGAAAACCGAACACATGGTGAGGATTTCCTATATCCAATGCCCCACATATGGTATATTTTTGCAGAGTCAGTCCAGGTGATGTGGAAAGGCCCATTCATGCTGGTGTTACATGGTTTTGGTCGGGTGATGGTGGTAGGGCCCCCTGATGACAATTTATGTGTCAGTCCCGGGAGCTTTGAGAAAGCCTTAAGGATCATTCAGCTCAGAGACCATGCCGGTGTTGGGTTGCGTGCATTCAAGGGCAATGCCAGGGATACTTCTGATCCACATCTGGACTCTTTTGGCACCATTCCTTTGGGTGACATCTAATTTCCAATCTAAGTTGGGGGGGAAGGTGAAGAAGCTTGGATCTGTCTCAAGTGGGTATATGGGTGGCTATGTTTTTCTTGTCATCTGAACATTTTAGTTTGTTTCAGGTCAGCAGTTTTTTTCCCCAACACCTTCCCTTTGGTACAAGGGAAACTAAGTGCCAAGTCCATCCTTGCCACTGTGGAAAGAGCTCCAAACCGGCGCCCTCCTAGAGGAGGGTCAATAATATAACAAGAGGAATGGCAGCAAGCCCTCCTTGGGGGAATAATTACATTTGTACTAGTGAGAAAGTTAGAATCAGCATTTGGGCTGCAGTCATGGAACCATGAAAAGGACATTCAAGGCATGACCTACGCAGGGTTTCTTTCTTTCTTTTTTAAAAAAGATTTTATTTTATAGAGAAAGAGAGCATGAGCCAGGGGGAGAGACAGAGGGAGAAGCAGACTCCCTGCTGAGCAGGGAGCCTGACACAGGGCTCAATCCTAGGACCCTAAGATCATGACTTGAGCCAAAGGCAGATGCTCAAGTGACTGAGCCACCCAAGAGCCCTTTAAGCAGGATTTCATAACCTGGAGTACATGAACAGGCTTCATTGGGTCTATGAGCCACCTGGAACATCTGGAAACTTCTGTATGTGCATTTTTGTAGGAGAATCATCAGATTCTCCCAAAGCTTCCTGTGACTGGCAAAAGGTGAAAAGCCACTGACATAATACATTCTTCTTGTGCCTCTGTCTTCTGAATCCAGGGTGATGAAGCTGACTTGCCTATCTTTCTCCTTTGCTGTTCCCAGAAAAAGCAAGTGAGCCAGACCAAGATCCGGGTCATCTCAACCATCCTGTTCATCTTGGCCGGCTGTATTGTATTTGTGACGATCCCCGCTGTCATTTTCAAATATATTGAGGGGTGGACCGCCTTGGAGTCCATTTACTTTGTGGTAGTCACTCTCACCACGGTGGGCTTTGGTGATTTTGTGGCAGGTAAGCACCCTGGGCATCCCAGTCACCAGGGCCCCAGTGGGGAACATGTTCTGCTGGTAATGCTTTTCAAAACCATGAGAAACCATGTTGTGGGAGAAGCAAATGAAAATGGCTCAGTGTCACTGCTGCTGTGCACGGACTCATTTCAAGCCCATGGTCCCACATAATGTAAAAAGCAGCAGATTCAGCTATGAAATGAAAGCCAGCCTCTTCCTCCCCAGGATGCTCATTGCCCTTATCATCATATGAATTATTCATGAGTGAAATGAATTTCTCATTGAATGTTGGACTTCTGATTTGCATTGACTCCTTGAATCAATTGATAAAGGCTATATTAATAGCAAGTGGCAAGTATGAAACTGGAGAGATTAGCATAGAGCATGGCCTGCAGCGACCTGTGGGTTAGGGTTCCTGAGGCTCTCCAGGGGAGGGCTGTGGTCCCTGCAAAAGTTACCCTGGGTGCGCCCCGACACAAGACTGAGGACTCAGCTTCAGTACTGAGAGCTGTACTGGGAGCTGTACTGGGAGCTGAGAACTATACCAAGGGAGTACAATATTATAACAGATTCTGCATGGGTGTCTATAGAAGCTATAATCTTCACTGTGAAAATAAATACCAGTGAACTATGTTTATAGAAGCAAAGGAAAACCACCATTCATCTCGTCTAGGGAGAGGGAGCTTGAATGAAATGAGATCTGGCTTTTTACCTGTATGGCTTTCCCAGAGTGTGATGGGAAGGCTGGAAGAGAAGAATACCATCCTTCTCTTTCCTGAGAGATAGTTCTAGGGGGTCAGACAATTGATCGTTTTCTACTCCGAGAAGTGAATGCTTTGATAAAAACTCTGTCCTAAGCTCGAAGTCTTTGGGTGATATATTTGCGTGCACATACAAGTTCTTGACCACCTGGTTAAGTGGCAGCCTGGACATTTGCAGGCTGAGCTCGCAGGCTGACCGTCCTTTATTTGGCACGCGATGTTGGCAGCGCCCTGGTTTCTTCATGGAGTATGGTGCTCACAAGGCGGACAGGGATCAGGAAATCTGGAAAACAGGACATTCTGGAGGGGATAGTAAAGGCTCTTCAAAAGGTGCATGGGTGCCTCCACATTCATTCTGATGATGCTAACCATCAGGGTGGTCTCCCAGCTGTCCCAACTGGGCAGATGGAAGACTGAAGTCCAGTTTGTAAAAAGAGCAGTTTTTATTTTTTTCCTTCTTCTTTTTAAAAAATTACCTAAGGACTAAGCACTGCAAAGTCAAAGCGATTAAAAAAGCGGGGGTTTCTGGGACCCCAGGCCAGTATTTCCTTATACACAGTGCTCAGCCAACTCAGATGGCACCAGGAGTCACCTGGTAGCATCTGGTGATAGGCCTAAAGCTCTGGAGGGAGACCACAGAGAGAAGTCATGGGACTATTTCACAAACTTTTTCAAGTTCTCCTGGAGCATAGTTTGCACTGGGTTGTGCTTCATAGTGCTGTGCGTCAGCCCTGGGCTCTCAGCTGGACTGTTAGAGGACACTTAGGACAAGCCCTTCTCTCTAAACACCTGCTTGACTCAGTCTGTTACTCTGTTAATGTGGGGCACAAATTGAGGAACCTTGGAATAGAACATTTAAAAATGTATTTAGTGATCAGTAAAGAGTTTAAATTTTTTTTAAAGATTTTATTTACTTATTCATGAGAGACACACACAGAGAGAGAGGCAGAGACACAGGTAGAGGGAGAAGCAGGCTCCATGCATGGAGCCCGATATGGGACTCGATCCTGGGTCTCCAGGATCACTCCCTGGGCCGAAGGCAGACGCTCAACCGCCGAGCCACCCAGACATCCCAAGAGTTTAAATTTTTAATTGGAATTCATGTTATTTGTTTACATATCATCATACAATGTAAGAAGATGCAGGGAAGCTTGTCACTAAAAAAACGCCATTTGACAGTACCATAATTGAATATTTTAAATTTTAATGTTACACATTGCAAAGTTATCTTATAAAACAAAAACTGTTATAGTCTATTCCAATTAGAGTCAGTGTATTAAATATCTACTGTCTCCTTTTGTTAATGTTATTGAATCCAGGCCTTCATGTTAATTGAAAAGTCAATATGAATCTGTAAAATAATATGAATTACATTTTATAGTACAGCATTGATTGAAGGACCAAAAAATAAAAAAATAAATAAAAGGAGCCCCAGATTTAATGCACATGGATGTTCTCTGTTGGCCTTTGCGTTGGGACTTCATTTAGAGCTTTATTAAAAATGTCAGAAAAGGTAGCATTGGTTTATTTAGATCTTAAATGAATATGGTTGGCCAACCTAAAATGATTTTGCATATGGTGCTTCTAAATGAAAAAGTTAAAGGTAACCCAGGAAAGAACACGTGTGATTTATTTAACCTTGTGACGCATAAATGCATGGGAAGTGGGTCCTTGCTCTTCATTGTGGATGAGAGAGAAGAAAGGACATCCGTGTTCTTTACCTTTTAGTCTACGGGGACCTCCCTTGTCAGGGAGCACTGCCCAGTTGGTGCACTGGTCCTTCCTGGGTGGTGGTGGGGGGTCAAGGAGAAAATGAGAGGGGACACTGGTGCTTCAAGGGCTACTGCCAATGATTTTAATTGATTATTTCTCCCTATTACCCACCATGGATTGAGAGCACATAGTACATACTGGCACTTGACCTCATCTTTACTTACCTAGCAAGGGTGTGACCTCCACATTCATAGGCCTGGCACTGTTTTAAGGCCCTTATTTCCCACCGACTGCAGAGCCTTATTTGTCCTGAGGTCTCCATGGACAGGTGTCTTTTATAATTCACAGTGCTGACTGCAATTAGACCAGACCCCTTTGAAGCTCGGGTTTCCAGGGCTTACACAGATTGGTCTCAAGAAGGCATGCCTTAAAGTTTGTCACAACCTCTGGGGCAATGCTCTAAGAGCAATAGGGAAGGATACCCCGATTGTTAACAAAGGTACATTAACAAGAGTCCATGGTTGCTGCGATGGAACATTGGCATCAACCCTTCTAGAAATATAATTGGAACGCTGATCACTGTACAGGATTAAGTCCTGGTTGATTTTGTGGCCGACTCACATTAGGACAGCCTTAAGAACATCACAGCATTTTGATATCCTTGAGATCACACACAGAACTCTGAATTCCAGACAAGCGTAGGGAAAGAGGCCAAAGGGTGTTTTTTGCGTTGTTCGCTCGCGCCCCCTAGTGACAAGCTTCTTTGGGTGGTGGTGACTGGCTAAGGTAAATCTTTCCTCTTGGCCCCAAGGGGGAAAGAAAGCTCACGTTCTCTGTCTGGCTCGGTGGAGAGACAGAATGAACCTCAAAAACCACTTACTGTTGCAGGAACTCCGGTAGGATCCTCGAGGAGGCTTCGGGGGGAGGGGGGAAGAGTTGCCTAAAAGGAAAAATAACAAAGGCAGCTAAACCAGACCCAAGGGGGCTGGCCACACAGCCCATTAGCAATGTCTGACATTCTAATTTTAAGAAAGTGGCAGTGGCCTGGAGACCTTGTGGGCGGCCCTGGTCCTGCTCAGCATAGGGTTGGTCTCACCGAGAGGAGCCACAGGCCACAGTGCCTGCCCAGCTGCCTTTGGGAGGCATTACCGATCCCATAAGAGCTCAGTGTGGATTCAGTGGTGCTAGATGAGGGTCCAACCACGACCCAGTGGGAAAGACTAGTAATCACTCATCACGTAGCCCCATAATGACCCATACGTTGCTAGTGCCGGTTGTCTTAGAAATGACTGCGCACCTGCCTCACTGGGCAGTAGGGTCTTACACAGTGAGAGCCAGGCTGACAGCAGTTACGTCCTCACATCCTTAGGAGAGGGGGCCGGGCTGGGAACCAGTCTTGTATGACTACCTTTGGCAGCGCCTGTAGGAGGGCTAGAAGAAATAGGCTAATTATTTTCAGTAAATGACTGTTTTTTTCAGTGGAATGGCCGGTCAATGCAATCGGGCAGCTGGCCAATTTGGTTTGATGGATTTCTACTGTAATCCCTACATATAAAGGGATTGGACTAGCTGGCCTTTTAGTTCTGGCACCGTGATTCTAATTACTCAGTCTAATTGACCTTTTGGATTAGCATCATGTAAATAACATCCCTCAGCTAACGGTAAATCACTACTGCTAGGTTCAAAGGCTCAAGAATGCCATTAGGTCTAATTTTACTTTCACACATCCACTCTGCTCCTAATCAATGCATGTATTGAGGAGGAAATGGTTCCAAGAATTCCAAGCCACTGGGGAGTATCGATCTCTCATTCTTATTACATTTAAAGAAGTTTAAGAAGACAGTTGGTGGCTGGGCCTCCTCCCTTGTCCTCTAGCTCATCATTCATTGTTAAGCCTGGGTTGAGAAGAGGTGGACCAATTCGGCCACTGACACTTTTTTGTTATGGGTCTTTGGCTCGTGGGCATTGTTCTGGGCATTACGGTGTGTGACCTAGAATCCAAGAAGTTAAGCCACAAGTCAGCTCCTTTAGGGGAGGGACACATCTTTTCCATGCCCTTCCTTCCCTGTCACGCCCTCGTATACAGCAGGCCTAACAGCTGAGTGTCAGGTGGTGATGGGATGACATCTCTGCTACGTGGACCAGAATATGTTTGTTCTGCAAAGACCATATGCTAGACCCTGGTTGAAGTAACGTTTGGTTGTTTTCAGGGGGAAACGCTGGCATAAATTACCGGGAGTGGTATAAGCCCCTAGTGTGGTTTTGGATCCTTGTTGGCCTTGCCTACTTTGCAGCTGTCCTCAGTATGATCGGAGATTGGCTACGGGTTCTGTCCAAAAAGACAAAGGAAGAGGTAGGACCCCTTCCAAATTCTATAAATGTTTCTGAGATCAGATGAACTCATGTCAAGAACTGCCTATCTCTATTCCGTGGGCTGGAGGGTTTCTTATTACATGGAGGCCCCCTACGGCTTTCTCTGTCTCTCTCTCTCTCTTTTTTTTTTTTTTTTGGCTTTCTCTTTTTGAATCATTACCCAAAAGCCAAGTTCAGTGGGAAAGTGGTTATTTCTGGATCCTTTTTCGGCAGGTGAGAACATCTGGTGACTCATCAGCCCACAGATCCTGAAAGGACTAGTAAACAACGACTTTTAATTTTTATTTTTAGGAGAGAGAGAGAGAGAGAGCGTTAGTGGTGGAGCCAGGGGGTGGGGTGGGGGTGGGTGTGCAGAGGGAGAGGGAGAGAGGGAATATCAAGCTATATCTGATATATCTGATATCTGAGGGAATATCTGATGAGTACAGAGCCCCACGTGGGGCTGGATCCCAGGACCCTGAGATCATGACCTGAGCTGAAACCAAGAGTTGGATGCCTAAGTGACTGAGCCACCCAGGCGCCCCAGAATGACTTATTTTTAAGGAATGAAATTAAAAGGGGGAAAAATAGCAATAGTCAGAAGAGGTAGACTATAATTGAGGGAGGTGTGCAGATACGTGGGAAAGACTAGAAAGTTTACAAAAAGCTTAGGAAAGATGGACCTGTCCATCGGGTCTTGGGGTCTGTATGGGAATGCAGTACGATATTAGGACTCCTTCTCGATTTTCTGAGACCCAAGTCCTCCACCAGCTGTGAGGAAGCAAACACAAGGGGTCCCTTTTCACCTTTATCACCTCCCCCCGCCCCGGTTGTCAGATCTATAGAAACAAATCTACCCCTGTGTGTGGGGGCAGGCAGTCTTTACTCCTTCCTATAAACATGCATGAAAATCTACACAAAAGCAAGAAAAGGAAGAGAGAAGAGGGGAAGGTAGATTTTGTGATTTAAAAAAAAGTCCATGTAGTTCTTCTAGGAAGAGAGGAAAAGAACTGAAAAGGAGGACAAGAGAAGCAGCAGTGAGCGCTAACAAGTGGAAGAGAGATAAAAACCCCAAAGAAATAAAAAGAGGGACAGCCTCCTGAAGGGCAACTGTTCACTTGCCCAAAGATAGACATTCTGTAGAAAGGGCCCCAGGACAAAGTTGCTGAATGGGAAAATTTCCCGTATGGTTTCCAGGCCCAAATGTTAATTTTCCTGGCTTGTGGAAACACTGGCAATGCAATCCTGTCAGTGTACTCCCCAGGCTGATGCCCCACGTGGCTAACTGACCTGCTCTAGTGAAAGGGAAAGTAACCACGTAAATATCCACTTTCCTCAATGCAAAAATGCAAACTTGTGGGTTCCTCATCTGCGTAGAAAAGCCGGGGACTAGGACTATTTGCACTGCTGAATGAGAGCCAAGAAATTTGGTATCCCTCCTCATGCATTCCGAGGAAGAATGTTCTGTGGGCTTTCACAGAACCCGACTAGGGAAGTTTGATTACCAGGAGCCCTGGAGGGTGTTCCTAAAGCAGGGTAAGCCCGATAGCACTTGACCATGGTGCGGCCCAGATACAGGGTGAGCAACACTCCCAGTGTGGCCGGGACTGCAGGGCTGCCTAGGACACAGGGCATTCTGTTTCACCACTGGGACAGTCCCAGTCCCACTGGCACAGGTTGGTCACCCTGCCCAGACAGCAGCATTGGAGGCACAGAGAGGGGCCAAGGTGCCCGGAGGGGGTGGGGGGGCATGTCTCTGCCTCCCTAACACTGAGAACTCTGTGAGTTAGACGGGATCACCTCCAGTTAGGTGGCAGGAATGAGGCCATACCACTAAAAAGGGGGTGGGTGCATGATGGGAACCCAAGCTTCAGAGAGTGGCCTCTCCACCCGCACAATGCCCTCCTCCTCCCGTCGGGTCACCGCCCCTGCACCTTGGGCTCCTGGCGGCTTCTCTAGCACCTGTGCTCCCTGAGTCACCCGAGCCGGGTGCCCAATCGAGATAGGTGTTTAGGGCACAGGTAGCTCCTGCTCCTCCAGCTCCTGGCCTCCCTGGAGCCAGCCTCCCCCTCCCCCCCCCGGGGACACCCAAGGGCTGTGGGCGCTGGGGTGGGGTAGGTTGGGGGGGGTCCCCTGAAGCAGAGACAACGTTCTCAGTGCGTTGTTGCCCTTCTGTCCCCCGGCCAGGTGGGTGAAATCAAGGCCCATGCGGCCGAGTGGAAGGCCAACGTGACGGCCGAGTTCCGGGAGACGCGGCGGCGGCTCAGCGTGGAGATCCACGACAAGCTGCAGCGGGCGGCCACCATCCGCAGCATGGAGCGCCGCCGCCTGGGCCTGGACCAGAGGGCCCACTCGCTGGACATGCTGTCGCCGGAGAAGCGCTCCGTCTTCGCCGCCCTGGACACAGGCCGCTTCAAGGCCTCGTCCCAGGAGAGCATCAACAACCGGCCCAACAACCTGCGCCTGAAGGGCTCGGAGCAGCTGAACAAGCACGGGCAGGGGGCCTCCGAGGACAACATCATCAACAAGTTCGGGTCCACCTCCAGGCTCACCAAGAGGAAAAACAAGGACATCAAAAAGACCTTGCCCGAGGACGTTCACAAAATCTACAAGACCTTCCGGAACTACTCCCTGGACGAGGAGAAGAAGGAGGAGGAGACGGAGAAGATGTGCAACTCGGACCACTCGAGCACCGCCGCGCTGACCGAGTGCATCCAGCAGCAGGCCGGGGTGGAGAACGGATCGGTCCCCACGGACACCAAAGACAGGGCACTCGAGAACAACGCATTACTTGAAGACAGAAACTAAATGCCGAGGACCTTGGACCTGACCAAGCGTTGTGGTTGGTTTGTTTGTTTGTTTGTTTTTTTATATTCACCCTGAGACACGTGCCTTAAACAGACTTCTCGATAGTCCGAAATTACATAGCATTGAAGAATATATTTCACTGTGCCATAAACGACTTGAGAAAGATTGCTCTGCCAAAAGGAATCCAAGGACAAGGGCCGCACTTCCGACAGTGGCCGCAGGACACCCAGGGAGTGTTGGCACACGCAGGAGGTCGTGGCCACCGAGTGAAGGGCAGGTGCGGGTCGGGGCTGCGCCCCCCTGTGCAGTGCCGCCCCGGCCCCGGCATGTAGAAAGGGCAGCTATTCCTTAGACCAGCCTTCTGAAAGGAGCAGGTGTGTCTTCTACATGGAGCCTCGTTCCCCGAAACTACCGTTAGAGATATGTGCACACACAGGAGAGGGGTGGAGGGGGTCTGAACAAGTACCTGTGATGAGGCTGAGAGCCGACCTTGTGGTAGGTCGCTCTGAGCTGGAATTTTGATAGCGAACCACTCAGTGCGTACCCAGTCTTTCTAAGCTCCAAGTGAATGTCCGTGGGACCCGCGAGCATGTGGAATTTGTGGGAAACAGATCAGAGCACACGTATTAAAAGGTGCAATTGCTTTCCTCATTACAAAAGAGAGAGAAAAAAATATCACAAATGCATCACACTGTGGATATCACCTTAACCAATGACAGAAGCCTAATGAATTTCATCTGTCGGCGAACGACAAATGAACTTGCAAGCATTGGCGAAAACTCAACCTCATTCGCTGCATGGTTACAGGCAAAAAAAAAAAAAAATCATGCATTTTCCTCAGTGGGTACAGTGGTGAAAATAAACTGGTTTTGAAATGTCCATGTTCACTTTCCTAGTGGAACTCTGGTTATAGGTTGTTTTGATAAGAGGGGGAAAAAATACCAAAACGATTGCCTTGCATGATGCCAGTGGCTTACTGTTCTGTCTAGCTGATCCTAAATTTTTATAAAAATAGACATCCTGCATGTCTGAGACATACCAAGGAGGACCATGGCATCATTCCATCTCAGGGCTTTTTGTCCCTTTGGGTGTCTTAAAGGTAGATGTAGTGGCGAGGTCCCATCTTGCTATCTCCAAACAAAAGAAAGAATCCCCCAACCAACTCTTTCTTGTACAAGAAAATTGAATTGTTTTCATTGCTTGCAGCTTAAGTGCCATTAATGCCATTTAAAAACTAATGCTTAAAAGAAGTATTTACAACATTCCACTTTTATGTTTGGGTGTTCCTTATTTGGAAAGCATCACTTCTTTTCCTTGCTATTTTGTCTTGCACCTGCTACTCACTAACGGAACACCTGTGTGATGGTTCCACAGGCCAACAGTGGCAACACGATTGTTCCATGAGGGTTCGGGTGGTCAGTGAAGGAAAGTGGGGGAGTGGCCAGTCATCAGTTTGGAGAAGAAGATTTTCAATATATATATATATATTTTTAATCAGAAAGGGCAAAATATGTGTTGGGCTCACCATCCTCTGTGCGCCTCAGCCCGTTGCATAATTGACTGGCTATTTGTGGTCCCGATGCAGCCGTTTGGACCACATGCTCTTAAGCATTTGGACCTGGCAACCCCAAACCCCAGGAAGTTGCTGGTTATGGGCCTCCCAGGCTCAGCGCCACCTTTTGGGGATTCACGTGGCTAACACGCACAGAGTGGATTTATCAAGAGATCACAGAACTAGCAGAGACTTCCCGAAATCATCTTATGCTTTCTGACTTCTGGGGAAAACCATACCTACCACATCCTTGACCACTGGTACCAGGGCAGACCTCTTTCTGCCCATTTCCCAAAAATGCACAGTTCTCCCTTGCCTGGAGCACATGCAGCTCCACCTTCCCCTACCCCAAAATTTTAAGCTCTAGCTAAAGTTCTGGCATTGCTTTTGGGAAGGAGCCAAATAAGAATCAACTTCCATGAGGCCCTTCCTGTCAATGGTCCATTTGGGCTCATGCCTCCCCGGGGCTGGGGCTGGTGCTCACTGGCAACATCCTGTGTCCACGTACGAACAGACATGGAAATGACGTTAATGCAGGTGTGGGCACTGGCTCTTACTGTGAGGGTCTTTCCAGCCTGACAAAATGTGTTTTACTTGGTAGAGATCTGGAACTTCATTCTTCTGACAAGTTAAAAAAAACCTCCCTGATTAAACTACCCACTGATCTCATTCATTTGCGTTTCCACCCTGTAGTCCTCGTGACCTTCTTTATAGTAGTGTGTTAAAATCCCAGACCCTACAGACGACTCTGGCAAAGAGGCTTCCCTGTCATTTATCCAATGGTTTCCACGGGCCAGGCACTGGATCAGGCACTTTATGGGCATTAGCTCACTGAAACCTCATAGCAACGCTCTACGGGAAGTGTTTGCAAACCCATTATATACAGATGAGGATGCGGAGGCTCAGGGAAGCGGAGTAACCTACCCGATGGCACACAGCAAGAAGGTGGTAGAGGTGGTATTCAAAGGCCGTCTGACCAAAGTCTGCTTTTGACTTTGCTCTAGTGTCCATGTCATGCACTCTTGTGAATGTGTGTGTGTCTGTGTGTGTTTGTGTGCGTTGTGTGTCTTTCTAGTTTCACGGACACGGCATACAGAGGCGGGGAGAAGATCTCTATGGCCAGGAGGGTACGGCGAGGTCTCTGTGTAAACGTGACCTACAGTGTTGCCCTTCCAGATGCTTATACATTATTTTTGGTTTGGGTTTCGAGAATGCTGTGTGTGGCACACTTTCTGTATTGTTAAAAATGCCCTTTGAAAGCACTCTTTTGCACTTTACTTGCTTACCTTGCAGGAACTCCGTATACAGCAGGAATAAAACAATTCAAAACACTAAGCTGCACATTCTACCAGATGGAACAGCTGTTGGTGTGTGCATAGACGCTTCCCCAAATGAGGTGAATCACAGTAATACGGACGGATCAAAAATAGCCCTTGGCGGAGAGTGGGAAAATATCCAATATAACCTGTTCCCTGAGTACAGAGGGGGCCAAAGCCCTGAGGAATAGAATCAAAGAGGAGCCCTCCCTCTGTGGAGCTTGATCCACTAGTTATGTGGGCAGTATTGGACAAGCTATAACATACTCTCCAAGGGAGAAGTTGAGAGGGAATAAGAGCTTAGTGTGTACGAGCTAAGATTTGGGGGGAGGCCAGTTGTTACGAAGTTGCTTGAATGAGTTACCCTTTTAAGATGTGACAATTAGTATGCAGCAAAGCTGCTACAAATTCTAAACACATCAGCACAGCCCTGCCCTGCCCTTCCGACCTGTGCTCCCTACCCTGCCATAAACTTGGAATAAATGCCTTGATTTTGCACACGGGAAGAGCACATGTTCTGTATCTTCAGTGGGTGGTGTCTTTTGCTTCACCTGGTAATTGGGTACTGATCCTTCCTTCCGTATTAGATCTGGAGGGTTACTGCTGATGGCCGGGGGGACAGTTTGGGAGACTATAGCTCCATACCCAGTCCTAACCCAACAGTGAACTCTAGGAACGTAATCACTTTTGGGGTAGGGCCCTAATGGGTGTGCAGGTCGGGGTGTCCCTGGTCTGCAGGTGAGGCGACTGGGACTATTTGTCTGGGCTCCCCTGTCCCAGCCTGTGATCGTGGGTACCTCGGATCTTGCGCTTGTCTGTTACCTCATCAGTGCATTGAGGGCTTTGAACACAGGTAATCATCAAGGCTCCTTTGAGTTCTGCGATTCTCTGACCAAACATCCCCTGGCCTCTGAGTTCGTTATATTTATGAAGAACCGTAGTGGCTGGTTTTGTGAATACCGACTAATGGGCTCCCCTCATTTTAGGCTAAGAGGAGAGCTTAGTCTCCTGCCCTTTGGGATTTGTTTTCTGGGTAATCGATGGAGACCCAGTTATGTTTGGGACCCTGGTGTCCAAATTAGAATGGTGCCTGTGTAGGCTCACTCTATCCTCTCATAGCACATGGTCACCTGGAGGGCTCAGGCTACATGAGCATTTTTTGCATGGTGTTAAGACTATTTAAAGAATTTTAAGCTCTTCTCTATTTGCAGTCAGTTGTAGTAAAGGTTCCCTTTGATTACTTCATGAATTCAAATACTATAGACAGATCTCTCTTTCTCTCTCCCTCTGTCTCTCTTATACACACACACACAGACACACACACACACACACACTGGAAATAAGAGGCTTTGAGTTCTATGGGGACCATTTGATGTTGAAAGTCCTATCGTGCTAGACATTAGCAAACCACCCCTTTGCCCCCTTCTGAGAGGACATCATTTCCTGGCTGAATCAATGCTGCTCATCTATTTGTGTGCTTGGTTTTGGGGATTACTGAGAATGCGGATTTATTTAGACTCATTGGATTGGGTAATGAGTAATTGGGAATGTAGACCATCCCATGTATACTGCAGTTTCCAAACCATAGGAAAAGCATAGGAAAACAGACAAATGTGCAGAGACTCTCGAAAAAATGAGGAAAACCCCCCCAATATTGCATTTCCTGTCTCTGCTTTCTGCATCCCGCTAATGTTTCAAGTGGAAGTTTATGATTTCTGTCATGGTGCAACTGTGTGCAAGGACAGTGGCTGTGTCAGTGGAGGGAGCTTTCACTGGCATAGTATAAGAGCTAGTTAGCAGTGGCCTTAAAAAATAAAAGTGGGAACTCTCAGAAACAAAGGTGACTTGAGTTTGGCATTGTAGATGCTGATGATTCTGCATATGGAAACTTTGGAATGAATAACATGTTGATTACATGGCTATAAATACAGCCCTGCACCCTGTCCTTGTACCATAAACCAGCAGCGTTGTACTTCACCAACTTGTCCGCCATCCCTGTAAACCTGAGTCCTCCCATGGCAGTCCCTAGGTCACATGACATCAGTGCAGTGGCAAGGAGGAGAAATAAGAAGTATCTCTGGTTTTACTGAAAGTGATGATCATTTTCACAGGTGCCTAAGAGATTTGAAATCTACCTTCTGTTCCCAGTTCTTAAGTGAAAAATCTCAAATCGTTCCCTGTGCATTAAAAAAAAAAATCCTTGAGAGGACTCACTCCGTAGATACAGCAGACCAATGTTACAGAAGGTGATTGGAAAACCTCTCCTTTGCCATCAGGGTGCCGAGCTTGAAGGGAGAAGGTGCAATGGTGCCTAGAAACGATATGCAAACCAACCCACATGCCAACCTCCAGCCTCTTCCCCGTCCCAGACTCCAGACTCCCAGGCAGGGGCCCCAGTGATGACGATAAACTCACGTGTGGAGGTGTTTTACCTGTTTTTTTCTCTGTAGGATTTCATGGTGCTTTAAAAAAAAAAAAGGCATTTTACAGAAAATAATGTGGGGTGGGGGGGAGGAGGGAATTTCGTAATGTTCTTAGGAAAAGTATAAGAGCAAATTTGCTTGTAACGTTTCAATGAGCTCTGCTGCTATTGTCTTTATTTGATGATGATGATGATGATGATGTAACTTTTTTTTTTTTTCAATGATGCAGAAAATTGCAACAAAGACCTTCTGGAAGATCTGATCCAATGTCTCTCCTGTTTTCCTTTCTTTTGTGGGGCCAAGCATGGTTCACAGTGGCTTGGGTGGTGGCTACACTCAGGTCTTCTGGCTGAGCACACCCACTTACATGCAGGCATCAGCACCAGACTAGAGCCTAAGCAAACCCATTGTCTTGCAGGTTGAGGAGCCCACCCTGGGTTTGAAGCAGGTTATAAACTCCTCAGGGCAGGAATTAGCCTTTTTCATCTCCATTTCCAGCACCGAGTGCTGTGCTTGATATAATAGAGACACTCAAATTATTGGTGGAGTAATTTTAATACCATATTGATAGCACATTTTCATCCTCTGAGGCAGATTTAATCTTTTCATGACTTGGAAGTCATTTGGAGCCAAGGCTGGTTAAATAAGCAAATTTATACCACTCCTAAAGTATCGTCTTGGTCAAAACCCAGTTTACCTATGAAGTAATGAGTTTGATCTGTATTTTACAAAGAACTCCAAAAGTTACAGTGATTGTCATTGAAATAACTAGACTGTAAGGATGACTACTCTGAAGGATAGCTCTCAGTCAGATGTTTGGTGATGGAATTTATTTTTTAAAGATTTTATTTATTTATTCATGATAGACACAGAGAGACAGAGACAGAGAGAGACAGAGACAGAGACACAGGCAGAGGGAGAAGCAGGCTCCATGCCAGGAGCCCGACGTGGGACTGGATCCCGGGACTCTAGGATCATGCCCTGGGCCAAAGGCAGGTGCTGAACTGCTGAGCCACCCAGGGATCTCTGCAATTTTTGTTTTAAATTTAATCTTATTACTGTAGATATAGCTTGACTCTCTGTGAATCTAGGAAATAAGGGCCTGTGCTTTGTGAGGATGTCAAATATATGGCAAATGTGCCACCACTCCTAACTCTTGTACCCAAGGCAGCTCTCTTAATCACACAGTCACTTCCCTATTAACCCAAGTACATTCTTAGAATCTTTTTTAAAATTTATTTATCAGAGAGAGAGAGAGAGAGAGAGAGAGAGGCAGAGACACAGGCAGAGTTGGAGAAGCAGGCTCCATAAAGGGAGCCTGACATGGGACTCGATCCTGGGTCTCCAGGACCACAACCCAGGCTGAAAGCGGCGCTAAACCGCTGAGCCACCAGGGCTACCCCCTCTTAGAATCTATTTTAAGACTATACTCAAGGTTAGTAGCTTTCAAAATATTGGTCCAGTGACCCTTGTAGGTCCTCAAGATTCTTTCATGGGATCATGAGGTCAGAACTATTTCCAGAACAATGCTAAGACATTATCTGCCTTTTAAACTCGTTCCTTTATGAAGGCATCGCATTTAGAACTGAGTAGCATTAGTTACTGAGAGGACAGGGGCAAGGTAATATGATACCTTTTGTTGAACATTAAAGACTTTTCCAAAATTCTTGTAAATGGACATGTGTTTCCTAGAGAAGCCCAAAGTACCCAGATACAATATTTCTCTGGTCC